GGGTGGGGTCGCCACGTGTCCGAGTTAATTATAACCAGTCGTCTCGGGTGTCCCCCGGCCTCGCCTCCTTACTTGGGCAGGCGCGGCCGGGAGGCTGTCCCCACCCCCAGGGGGAGGGCGGCGACTCCGCGCAGACCTGCGGCTCCGCTCGCTCGTGGGAGGTCTGGGCGGAGCAGGGGCCCCGGGCGCCTCCGCGGTGATTGGGCCCCAAGGCCTTAGGAGAGGAGTCCGTGGCAGCGGGGGAGGCACGGAGGTAGCTGCTTCCTCGGCCTGGAAGGCGCCAAGATTGCAGGTCGAGCGGGGCCGAGGGCTGGGAGCACCCAGGATGGCAAACAAGAAGGGAATGTTCCCTTCCCTCTGGGGTTCCTCCCTCCTCCCGCATTTCCCCCACTTCTCCCCAAGAAGGTGGGGACTGAACTAGGGAAAAGGGAAAAGGGGTCCTCTGTCTCTCCCCAGATTCCAGGTGGGGAGGGGGTGCTTAGAGACTTTTTCTTGAGGCCCAGACCCTGACGTGTCCACCCACCAGTCCCTTCCCAGCCAAGGCAGAGTGGCAGAGGTCTCCTTCGGGGTTAGGGAATCGGAGGCCCACTGGACTGAAAGGAACTGGTCTGGAATCATTAGGCGTTTATCATTTTAACATTTATGGACCCTTACTGGGGACACAGTGGAAAACAGCCCAAACCCCTGCCCTCATGGAGGTGATATTTAGTGACAGGGAACACGTAAATATGTGTCCTCGTGTCATGAAAGAGGGTATGGGATGAGTGATGGCACAGCAGGGGAGGCAAGGTCAGGCCTCTCTGCGGAGGTGACACCTGTGCAGAGGCCTGAGGGAGGGGAGGGAGCCAGCCATGTGGGAAATCTGGAAGGGAAACAGCAGGTGCCAAGGCCCTGAGGTGAGAGTGGCTTGGCATATTTGAGAGATAAGGAGGGGGTTGCAGGGCTGGAGCAGGTAGGGCAGAGGGAAGAGTGGGAAGAAGAACATGAGGCTGGAGAGGGGACAGGAGCAGACCCGTGTGGCCCTAGAGGCTGTGGAGGAATTTCCATCCCACTGTGAGAGGGATGGGAGCCACCGAGAGTTTGAGCAGGGGAGAGATGGGATCCAGCCACGTCGTACAACTGGGGGGTGGCACATCTCAGCCCCCTGGGCCACGAATAATCCCTTATGGGGACATTTGACATTCCTTTTTTTTTTTTAATATATCTTTATTGATTTCAAAGAGAGGAAGGGAGAGGGAGAGAGAGAGATAGAAACATCAATGATGAGAG